ACGACTGCACCTCCAACATTGACGGCCCCTTCCCCATCAACCACCACAGCCCCGCCCTCCACCACAGCCCTTCCATTTACCATGACCGCTCCTTCAACAACCACAACAGCAGTTCAAAACACAAAAACTCCTCCAACAACTGGCAGGGATACAGTAATGAGATATGTCACATTCAGATCACTTCAGAGCAATTTTGAAACAGACTTGTTGAATTCATCATCTGCAGCCTTTACAAATCGATCTTTAATGATAAAGAAACAGGTCAGTAACTTTTTCCCAAAATCTTTTGTGAAATTAATTTCCTCTCAGTATTAGGTTAATACCCTTTTCCAACAATATTTTCATGTTAAGTTTTTTTGTTTAACTACATAAGCACCTCTACCATGACCGTAATCCTAACACATCAGTCTGTTTCAATACCTACAGAGCGCTTTAGTTCAATATAATTTCTTTTTTGTTATCCTTCATTCAAAGGGATGAACTTTCCACACACAAGGAGATGTCTATAATGTTCATACATTGTCAAATATGTCAAATATTTAAAAAAAAAAAACAACAGAAAAAATAGTTTTAAGAAAATCTCTTTTGTGTGTGTAGATTGAACCTGTTTACAGTAAGGCCTTCCCCTCTTCCTTTGTCTCCTTGGATGTGGTGAGCTTCAGGTAATTTCCATATTTTGACATATCATGTAGGGCACTGACCTAAAAAGCTAATATTCAAAACAATAACTTGTGTTTCTGCATTTGCAGGAAGGGATCAGTCATAAACACCATGGAACTTCAGTTTGTAAACTTTTCTGTCCCAAATTACACTGAGATTAGGAATGTTTTGATCGGTCAAGCCTCAAATGTGAACGGCTTTGACATCGAAAGGGCCTCCATCAACATCAGTGACACTGCTCCAACAACAGCCACTCTACCAGAAACAACTGCAACTACAACAACAGTTGCAGCAACTACAACCACTATCCCAACTACAAAAGCACCAACTGGACCTGTCCAAATTGTTCTCTTTCTACAGTTCCTTGAACCATATGTACCTGATCTCGCAGACCCCACCAGCAGTGCATATCAAGATCGCAAAAAACGAGTTGAAGAGACGGTGAGTAATATTTGAACTTAATACAAATTACATATTGACTGAAACAGTATCTAGAGAACAAATATAGAAGCAAAAGATAGATGTATTTCAAATGATGTATTTTAAATAAGGGTTTTTAGATAATGTAATTTTGAAGTTGTTTCACCTGGTTTAAATTTTCTTTTTGTGTTTATTTTTTGCAGTGTGATAGAATATACAGAGCACAATTTTTGAACTTCATCCGTGCCATTGTGGTTGGGTTCAGGTAGATGTTTTTTAACATTGGTTATTTTTCAGACACTTATTAATTAAATTTCATTTTGAATGTTAAAAGTGACATGTAACATCTGCCTCACTCTCTTTCATGACACAGATCTGTTATAGTCCAAAAACGAGTGGATAGAACTGAGGCATTGGTGGAGCTTGTGTTCAATCAAACAATTCCCAATGCACAAGTCCCAGATAATATTACTATTGTTGAAGCTTTAAGAGATGCTATTAACAGGTCCAGCATTAATTTCACCATCCAAATAGTTCCTGAGACGGTATCAGTAACTTCTGGTGAGTATTAGAAAATGCAAACAAAAGTTAGTTTGGTAATTAATCAGTGATAAATAAATTATTTTAGTCTGTACAGAAATATATATTAATTTATTTTTGAAAAATATTTTATAGTTCCTGTCATTGTCACGGACAATTCCACCACACCTCTACCAACCACTGTCACTTCCACTACTGCTGCACCGACTACTACTTCAACTACTGCTGCACCGACTACTAGTTCCACTACTGCTGCACTGACTACTAGTTCCACTACTGCTTCAGCTACAACTGTTGTACCTACAACTACAGTTTCAAGTGGAGTATCCCACAAGATTAATCCCAGGATTGGTTTCCTCCTGGTGCTGTTGTTATGCCTTCTATCAAGCCAGCAATAGCATCTGTGCTGGTTTCCATGTGAAAGGCCAGCAGAACACAATCTCTTTTAATAACATGAAAAAAATGTAATGTCAGCAGAAATCTGATATGTTATTATTTATAAGGGTTGTTGGGTTCGTTTAGGTGCACTGGACACATCAGAAAGAGTAGCTCTAGTATGTTTATCTACATTAAAATATTTTCAGGTGGGAATGACCCTGCCCTGAACAGAATGACACAAATAATTTTAAGCATCCGGTTAATTAAATCACCAATAAAAAGCCTGACAATGCATGGGCAAAACATTTAAA